TGCTGTCAGTATTCCTTGCCCTCCTTCCCCTGTGCTCTCTCAGCTTGTTCATCTGCTTCCCTCAGCCCACTCCCTGGGGCTTCTCAGGAGGGAGGCATGAAGACTCATTTCTCCTAGGCACTGTCTGCTGATCCCAGTGGTCTCAACTCTGAGACCCAATGACTCCTTATAATGAATATTTTCCTAAAACTTAACTCGTAGATAATGTAACCAACCTACCCGTATAATTTCCTCAAAAGTTGAATGATACCCTATTAATATAAAAAAGAAACAAGGAAGGTAGTTTATAATAAAATAATATGTATAATACATTACAGTAAGATGAAAATGCAAAACAATAACAGTTGTGTTGAGTACAACAATGCTAGAAGACATAATATAGTAGTCTGATATATAATGACTGAATAACTTTAGATTTAGAAGAAGTAAAACCAGTAAGTCATTCTACATAAAAGTACATATTAGAAAAATGACAGAGCAGAAGAATTGGCGCATGCAAGATTAAAATCCAGTGTTAGAATAAGTAATAATGGACCAGATTTATTTGTCTGTGATAAGAGAGAGAGAGAAATAACCTTAAGTAGGGATAGCATGCCAAGACAAATGCTAGATTTGTCAAAGTGGAGACAATGAGAAATAAGATATTTTTGAAAATGAGCTGACTGTGGAAAAAGGATTCCCTGTGTTATGACGCATGATAGGCAGGGATGATGTATCTCAGAAAACATAACTCCTGTCTTGATATCCCACCAAGCTTCAAAGCTTATATTCAGTGTTTGAAAGCCTGGCAGGACATTCAAAAGTTGCCTGAGCTGTCCCACACAGGCAGTACATCTGTAGCATCCTTGCCTCCCCAAAGGCCCCCAATATTTATGGCAACCAAAAATACCCTGCCTCCAGAAATGTCTAAAAGTCTATTTAGAGGGTGATACCACCCCCATGGAGAACCTCAGAGCCACGGGGGTCAGTACTTTCCCCTCCGCCGCCTCTGGTTCGGGTGGCAGAGTCCACTTGTCTGGGCGTTGTGCAGTGTGGGGCCCTGCTGTTCAAGGTCCTTTGCATCCAGTTTCTGATGGGGGCAGGCCTGTCTTCCTAGGTGGCTGCCACACTCAACAATCTGGCTGTGCTCTATGGCAAGAGGGGCAAATACAAGGAGGCGGAGCCGCTGTGCCAGCGGGCCCTGGAGATTCGAGAAAAGGTGCCTGTGCCCTCTGCCTGTTCTTCCCTGTTGCGGTGACCCCTCGTCCACCATCTCTCTTCTGATCTACCCTTGCCCCTCACTTCTTTTCGTCTCACCCCCCATCTCTGCCTTATTCCCTGTTCCATCATTCCCTTCCCCCTGCTCCCTGCATGGGCACATGCACACACACACACATGCACACGCACACACACACAAGCACACACATAGTCACAGCCAGCTGTCTGTCCTTTGTACTCCTCCAGGTCCTGGGCACCAACCACCCAGATGTGGCAAAGCAGCTGAACAACCTGGCCCTGTTGTGCCAAAACCAGGGCAAGTATGAGGCTGTGGAGCGCTATTACCGGCGGGCACTGGCCATCTACGAGGGGCAGCTGGGGCCGGACAACCCTAACGTAGCCCGGACCAAGAACAACCTGGTGAGGGCAAAGGCGGTGGGAGGAGGGAAGGGGGAGCATCACAGTCTGGTACACTGACCTCATCGCCTTTGTGCCCAGCTCTGGGGCTGCCTTTGGGGCTGAGGGGTCTGCTTCTTTCCCATGGGAAGGCAGAAGTTCCGTAGCCTCTTGGGAGTGGAGTGGAGTGGGAACACCCTGGACCCTGCAGCTAGACAAAGAGGTGTGAGGTGGATCTCTGGGGAAAGTCATAAAGAGACCAAGAAGTGGAAATCCCAGGCCTGGCCGAGACCTTATCTCTACCTCTTACTCCTGTGTTTTTGCCTTCCTGCCCCCAGGCTTCCTGTTACCTGAAACAAGGGAAGTATGCTGAGGCTGAGACACTCTACAAAGAGATCCTGACCCGTGCCCATGTGCAGGAGTTTGGGTCTGTGGATGGTGAGTGGTGAGGGCCTGGGCAGGGAGCTGCAGGGAGGAAAGGAAATGCAGACCAAAGGTTGGGGGGTTGACCACAGTGGTTCCCAAGGGGGAACCAGACCCCTTTAGTCCAGCCCTGTCGGCCTCTGGGTCCTGGCTCCCCCGTACTGTCCAGCTCCGTTCTCTAACCGTGCCATCCCATCCCATGTATCACCCCCAGACGACCACAAGCCCATCTGGATGCATGCAGAGGAGCGGGAGGAAATGAGCAAAGTGAGTGGGGGGCCCAGCCTGGGGAGCCCGAGGCTACCAGGGCCTCTGACTTACTCCTGACCCAGCCCAGCTCCTCATTTCCCATCCAAGCACCAGCCCCAGGTGCATGGTGCCTTCCCCAGCCCAGCTTGCACCCCGGCCCTGTGCCAGCTTGTACCCAAGCTTCTCGGTACTCTCATCTCTGGCTTCACCTCCCCCTCTGTCCTCCTGCAGAGCCGGCACCGTGAGGGCAGTACGCCCTACGCCGAGTATGGAGGCTGGTACAAGGCCTGCAAAGTGAGCAGGTGAGCTGCGGGTGAGCAGCCGGCTTGGCCTCCGATGCCCTCCATCCAAGCCTGGCTTCCGGCTTCCTGGACCTTCCCCTTCTTCCCTTGGACCTTCCCTCGGCCTTAGCTCTGCTCCCTCACTCTCCTGCTTGTTTTCTGAGTCCATCTTCTTTTCCTTCCCTGGTCTCCCCTGTCACAGCCCCACAGTAAACACGACCCTGAGAAACCTCGGAGCTCTGTACAGGCGCCAGGGAAAGCTGGAGGCAGCTGAGACCCTGGAGGAATGTGCCCTGCGTTCCCGGAAACAGGTCAGAGACCAAGAGGGGAAGGAGGTCTGCAAGGTAGGGCCCTGGGGACAGGATGGAGGACCGCTGAGGCTGCTTGTGACTCTCTGAAGGGTAAGAGAAGAGGCTGAGGAGGAAGACAGGACAGGCAGGTGAGACTCTTTTGTGACCGTGGTTGTTTTTTAAGTGTGTTCTTACCCCCTACCTGCCCTTTGTGGTCAGGACTCCAAGGTTCATTTCACTAAATGGGACTATTATGGGAAGCCTTGCCTTTTGATAATGTGAAGAATCTTCTGAGGCGGGACACGGGCAGTGTGGGTGAGAGGGTTGTGGTTGAGGGGAGCCCTGAATCGGAGTTTCTCAAGTTGAGGGTCTTGACTCAGTGGGTCCTGAAATCAGTTCATTGTGGGCCTCGGCTAAAGATGGATGTGTATCTTTATGTAGGAACGCATTGCAAATAGAAAAGGTGAGTGTCTCCTTTCCAGTATGTGTGTACTGGGAAGTCTCAAAGAAAAATGTATTCTTTGTTGCGGCTGATGGTGAGAAAAAGTTTGGAAGCCCCATCCTGAGGAGTTCAGAAGTGGGAAGTCCCAGCTCCTTCCTTTTCCTTCCAGGGCACTGACCCTATCAGCCAGACCAAGGTGGCTGAGCTGCTTGGGGAGGGTGACAGTGGAAGGACCTCCCAGGAGGGCAGTGTGAAATTCGAGGGAGGTGAAGATGCCTCAGTGGCTGTGGAGTGGTCAGGGGTAAGTCTGATCGTCGCCCCTTGATCTCTCCTGCCTCTCCTGCTGGTGGTGGTGAGAGGCTCTGAGCCTGTAGGATGCGTGTAGGATGTGCGTGTCGGAGGGGATGTTGTCCCCGTCCCAGTTCAGTTAGCCCATCCCTCTCAGGGGTCTCTCTGCAAGCCAGCTGTTGACCAGGCTCTTGTTTTCAGTCGCTGGGCTTTTGGGGGGAGGGGGAGGTGTGCAGAATAAATGGCAGGAGTGGACTCAGAGGCCAGTCTGCCTGGGATCCCTTTAGCTTCTGTTCCCCATCCCTCTCTGGCAGGATGGCAGTGGGGCCCTGCAGAGGAGCGGCTCTCTGGGCAAGATCCGAGATGTGCTTCGTAGAAGCAGCGAACTCCTGGTGAGGAAGCTCCAGGGGACCGAGCCCCGGCCCTCCAGGTACACACTGAGACTGAGATATGGCAGAGTGGGCAGGTGAGCCCTGGCCTCCAACTCCGCTTGGCCCCTCACCTCTGGAGGAGAAGAATCTTGGAGAGAAACATGGAGGAGGTCACTGGGGTGGCTGTGGAGAGAGAGTGTGGGAAAAATGGGTGCCCCAGTGCGGGGACAACAGTACCTGAGAAGATGCTGGTGACTGATGAAGACAAGAGAGTGCGTGTATGTGTGCGGGGGCGGGGGGTCAGATGGTGGGGAGGCAATGACCTGAGTGTGTATGGTGGTGCCCAAGAGTCCCAAGCGTTAGGGCCACCCATGGGAAGAGAAGAGGCCTCGATTCTTTCTTTCCCATTGTAGCGGCAACATGAAGCGGGCAGCCTCCTTGAACTATCTGAACCAACCAAGTGCAGCGCCCCTCCAGGTGAGAGCAGTGCTCGTGAGTGTGTTGGTGGGTGAGAAAGAAAGGATAAGCCCAGTGGGGAGAGGGGAGAGTCGAGAATCATCTGGGATGAAGGCTTTGCCAGGGAATTGGAGGTGGGCAGACAGGAATCAAGCAGCTTATTGGGGGTGGTGACCGCCAAGGGACAGTTTCAGGCCAGAGATAGTAGCAGATAAATTAATCAGGAGGGGAACAGGAATGAATGTTCTCTAAATGGGTACTTTGGAATTATGAATAATTCAGGAATGATTTGGGGATACTAATTGGTCTCCTCCTATAGCCACCATACTCCTCACCTTGGGGACTCAGCAGTAGATGAGAAGGGAAAAAGAAAAAAAAAGCATTAACTCATCTCCATTTGAGAAAACAGCAATGACTTTTTTTTTGTTTTTTTTTTTGGAGAAGAGTTCTCTGCTTTATTTCATTAGCGACGTCAGTGAGAAATTATGCAAAGGATGTATTGATGAGAATTAGTCTCTATAAGGTTACCCCGAAGCACTTTTACATCATGATATTGTAGAGATCGTATAAAGACTGTACAAGTTATATAAAAAGAAATGAGTCTCTGTTAAAGAAGTAGCAATGACATTTTAATGGGAAACGACCACCTGTATCAACACATTCAAAGTATATGCCAATATTCATGTGGTTCTTCCAGGTATTTTCTCCACCAGATTGTGGCCTTCTGGGAAATCGTAGCAAAGACTAAACAAAGCCCAGAGCTTGGGGTTGAGGTTACGGGCTCCATCCTAGGTCCAGAGAGAGACTGCAGCCGTGAGATGGATAAGACTCCAGGGGACAGTCTTTGGGAGGCTGAGGTCCCTGGGCTGATGGCATGCTATTGTCTATTTCAGGTCTCCCGAGGCCTCAGTGCCAGCAGTATGGACCTCTCTTCAAGCAGCTGACATTCATCCCACCCCCCCAGGTCTGCTGGGTCCCCCACACAGTCCTCACAGCATTCCCTATTGCTCCTGGCTCTTCCAGCCCCAAGGTGGGACAGTGAAGGGGGAGCAGTTAACCAGAAGATTGCTGCTGCCCTTAGGGTCTCAGCTCCCTCCTCAGGAATCCCCCTCAGGAAGGACCCTCAGGACATCCTCTCCCCACCCTGTGGTACTCTAGAGTAGCTAGCTCTGCTACTAGGGGCCCCAGAGTGGGTAAGGAGCGGGTCTGCACCTCAGAGATGCAGCCTGCAGCTGGCTTTTCTGTCAGAGGGTTTGGGACTGGCCAGCCAACCTGCCTTGCCCTGGCCTCTCTTGTTCCCTCTGCTGCCTCACTTCAGGTCCGTGTATTTCACTTTACCTAAATAAAAGAATCAGGTAACCATTCAGCCACTTGAGTCCTAACTGAAGAGGGTAGGAAGCAAGGGTGGTGTTGGGGCCCCTCACAGAAGGGTGAGGGGCAGTGATGGATGGGGCAATAGGAGGAATGTTGCTTCTTGGATCTCTCCTCTCTTCCTTCCCCTGTTTGTATCCTCTCCAGCAGGGCCTGCAGGCAGGCGTCTGGGGGATGGGGGGAGGCCCACAACCCAAGGAGAAGGTGCTGTGGACTGCGTTGTCAGGGACATGTGGCGGCCATGTGGCAGGACCCTGGAGTCCTGGCGCCACTGCTCCTGGCCTGTGAGGCCCTCTGTGGTGGCCCCTCCTCCTCCCAGCTGCTTGGGGGAAGGGAGGTCTAAGCAGGCCTGGGGGGCCCTCTGGAGCCAGAGGGGGATGAGGCACTTACTATCCATACCCTCTCGGCATATCCTGGAGGCCCAGCAGCAGCTGGGGCCCATCTTCCAAAGCTTGACTCCTCCTGACCCGCCTCCTACACCCCTTGCTGCTTTCACAACAAAGAAAGAATGTGGGGGTGGTGGCGCTGGGGGTGGGGGGCGCCTGGAACAAGGGCTGTACTGGGCCTCCCCACAGCTGGAGACTTGGCCATGCCCTGACACAGCCCAGACTGCCTGGAGATGGACTTGGGATGAATCTGTCAGTTTAACAGCCTTCAGCCTGGTGTTCAGAGAGCCCAGTCTCTCTCTACCTTTGGGTTCAGATTGGTCCAGAGCCAAACCAGACCCTAGCCATGCACTGGTCCTCCTCTTCTCCAGGCTACTTCTCTCCTGGGGCGCCACAGTATCTCCAGTTTACCTTGCTTGGGGACACCAAGGACACCCTTCTGTTCTGGATCTCCCTCCGGATTTCAGGTTGCTGAGAAGTGAGCCAGAACCCACCCTTTCACCTCCCACCCGGAGAATTTGGGGGAACTGTTGGTCACAGCCCTCAGGAAAGCCCAGAAACCACGATCTTCCCCAGGAGCCACGGAATCACAAAAGTCACTTTAGGTCCCCTGAGTCCCTGCAAACTAGGTGGTAGGCACAGCATCCGCTCCCCTATCTCTCTCAGGTCCCCACACTCCCCCGGGGCCTCCTTCTCTCTGTCCCCCATCCGTCTCCAGACCCCTCCCCCAAGTAGGAGCTCCTCCCCACAACGGCGGGGAGGGGGGCGTCGAGGGGGCGTCGCGGGGCGGGGCTTGGCGGCGGCGGCGGCGGCGGCGGCGGCGGCGGCGGCGGCGCGCGACGGCTCGGACGGAGGTACCGGGCGCGCGCGGCTCCAGCTCGGGACGCCTCGGGCTCTGACTCTGGTTGCGGCTGCTGCAGCGGTACCCGCGCTCCGGTGCGCTCGGCCTCCTGGGCCCGCCGGGGAGCGCTGACCGCTAGCCCGCCGTGCGTCCGCCCGCCCCCTTTCCCGGGCCCGCCGGGATGGGAGCCGCGCGCGGAACCCCGAGCAGCCCTCGCCGGCTGCTTCTGCTCAGTGTCCTGCTGCTGCCGCTGCTGGGCGGTGAGTCCCGGCGAGCTGGGGGAGCGCGGGAGCCCCTAGGGCCAAAGGGGGCGCCGTGGAGGTGGGCTTGGACAACTGGAGCAGGGGAGACACACGGGCGTAGGGCAGGGGCTCGCTGGGCGGGGGACGAGGTCCCGGCGGCCGGGAGATGGCGAAGCCCCCGCTTACTCGGCCGGGCCCCTCTCGTCCCCGCGCCCGCGAGGACGCGTTTCCAGCCTCCCCGGAGTTTTCCCTGCCCGAGCCGAGAGTTTGCTCGGGAACTGCCGGGAGTTGCCGGCTCCCGGGCTCCAGTGGGGCGTTTCTTTGCGGGGGAGAAACGGCGCCGCCCCCCCACTTAGGGGGTGCAGCGCGGTGGCTGAGGGTGGGGGAGATGGAGTCCCCCCGGCAGGCTCAGCCTAGGTGAGGGAGGCCGGCCTGTGGCCGGATGCGGGACCGACCGGCGCGCGGAGCGCGGAGCTTTGTTACCTATGCCGGCCCGACGCTCCCGGCTTCCCTCCTCCAAGTTCCTGGGCCAGGCTGGGACCCAGACAGCCCTGCTGGTGAGGGCGGAAGAAGGGAAAGAAGAGTGAGGGTCCGTCCCATCTCCTCCAGCTCCCGGCCCCAGCCCTGAGCCCACTCCCTCCCAGGGTCGGATCTGGGAGCTGAGAGTCCCAGGCTGTCTCGGTGACTCATGTGTGAAGGCCGCTGCCAAAATCGGGCATGGCCGGCCTGCAAAGGTGCGGACGGGGTTGGTTCTGCTCCTTCCTGGATTTCCATCCTCTCTCTCCCCAGCAAGGAAAGAAAATCTCTCTTTCTACGGGCAGAAAGGCAAAAAGAGTTCATTCCGTCTTCTTGGAGGGCCTCAGCATTTTGATGAGGGTGTGGCCCCTATCTCTAGGGCAGACTGGACCCGAACCCTCCCCTCGCTTTATTTCCTGGCTTGGTCACACCTGAGAGTCACCACCGAGGTGTTGAAGTGCTTTAGAGGAAAGCCCCAAGCTACCCGCACACCCCAAACACTCTGGACTGGAAGTATGCCCCTCGCACCCCGTGTCCCCTTCCAAAACCCACGATCTTTGGTGATGATCCTGGCAGCAGCCCTCTCTGGGGCAACTCTGCCCAAGAGACCTGGTCCAAGCTTATCACTTTCCTCCTCTTTTGAAGAGTGGCCATGGGGAGGGTGGGGGTAGAGAATTGCCTTTTCTGACATCTCCCTGGCCTGCCAGCTGTTGAGGGGTTTGGTGCTGATGGAATGGAACATCTCCCACACCCCTAGTTGTAAAAGGGGAGGTAATTGTAACCCAGGACCCAGAGGTAAGAACAAGTTCCTGGGATTCGGAGGAGGTGTTTCTGGAGCTGCCCCGTGTTCCTTCTGATGTGTGGGGTGGTAATGCTCACGGCAGAACCCACATCTGCTCTGGGAGGAAGTATGGAAGTTTTTTGCACAGCCAGCATAGGGGGCCCAGCCATATGGGCCAGCTCACAGGCTTCCTAGGTCTGCAGGCTGTTTGGGTTTTGGTGTGTGGGGTGCCAGATATGGCTGCCCTCGCTGCTGATGTTTAGAGTTCTGGGGAAGATTCTGGTGGAGACGGGGCTCTTGTTCAACAAATGCTAAATTCCTAAATTCCTTCCGTGAGAAGACGACTCTGATGTTAAGCGATGTTAATCCGGTGACTGGCGTTTAGCGAAGGGGTGGGTTCTGGTGGGGGGAGTTAGGGCAGGCTGAGGGCTGGGGACTGGAGGTCTGGAATCTCCTCTGGGGGTGGGGAGATGTCTTGTGCTCAACAAAGGAACACTTTAATGAGAGCCTTAAATCAGTCCCATCAGATGTGTCTTAGTGTGGAACCTGCCCATGCGCTGTAAACAGTTTCAATCGAGGCTGAGGCGCTTGCTGTCTGTCTTCTGGTGAAATCCGGGGGCTCAACCCACCCCTGGATGGCATGACTTCAGCGGGCTATGATTTTTCAATAGAAAACGGTAGATTTTTCCATCTCATTGTGTAATTAGCTGGATTTGTAGTGAGACCCCGCTGCTAATAAGGCAGGAGTAGGGGACCTAGGCCGGCTAGGTTTGTGGATTAGGCCATTTTGAAGTTTGGGTAATTATGCTGTAAACGGCTGAGGAACTTTCCGAACTTTGAGGTCCCCGTTGTGATAAACATGGTGGAGGAGGCGGAGAGGGCTTGACGTTTGAAACCTGGGATTCTTCGCCTCGCCGCTGGAGTGGTTGGTTGGAGTCACCACCCATCCCTCTTCCCACCCCCGACACTGGGTTCTTTCCTCCAGGATCTTGTTTCTTTGGGGAAATGGAATTGTCACGTCCTGAGATGGCTTCCGCAGCCTGTAATTCAGCCCTTTTATCAGTGATGGGCTTTCTCAGATGTTGGGAAGTATGGCGGGAGGGCTACAGTAATTTCTGCTCATCCCTTGCCAAAGGATCTAGTCAGACTCCTGGCGTTCAGAGCAGGGCTGAGTGGTGGAGAGAGCCCAGGCCATCGGGACGAAGTGTTTGCCAAAACAGCAACTCGAGGTTCTTTGACAGGCCCTGGCAGATTTCTTCACCTCACAGTTTGCCTCCTCTGTAAAGGGACTTACTTCCTGGAGTTGTGCTCAGGATCAAATGTAATGAAGTATATAAAGGGCCCCTTTCTTGTTCTTCCCTCTCTGGTGGTGTGCTGCCAGCATACCTTTCCAGCTTGACAGTCACCCCCAACAATAAACATGTTCCACTCACTGGAACCCTCCATTCCAGCTCAACTAGTCTCTTTCCCATCCCCTAAAACATACGGGGTTTCGCAGACCTTTCTTTTCTCTCTGGCCGGTCTCCTGGTATATGCCGCCTTCCCCATCTCTTTTGCCCAGCCCCACCTCCACTTCCTTCCTGAAGCTGTCCCATCTCTCCTACCAGAAGGTGGATGCCTGGAGAACCTCTGGACTCTTAGGCCATCTTCCATATTTTTGCCCCACTTGGATTTTAACTTACTGAAGGGATTTAACTTACTGTAGAATTTATTATGGTGGTATCTTATTTATAGTAGATCCTTATCTAGGTTTATTAAAAAGTGAATGAAGCATTTGGGTACAGGGCAGAGTGACCAATGGCAAAGGTAAACAGCCCCTTTGCCTGCTAGGCAGTGGGGGGGTCTTTTGTGCCCTTTCCCACTTCTCTGGGTTGGGGTTGCCTGTCCCCTCTCCTTGTGCCTGTTCTACTGTGACCCAGTCAAGGGACCAGATCTTCCTTCCCTGTCCCTGGGCTGTCTGTCCTCTGCGGCGGTTTTCTGAGTTTTGATGTGGCAGGGCTTCTGGCTTTCTCTAAGAGTGCTAGGCATGGGCATCCACCTCTGCATATGGAGCTGACCTGCCTGGAAAGGCCACAGCTTAACCACCATGAGCTATATAGGGGCCTAGATTATCTACAACTTTGCCACTCAGAACGAGGGCCAGGGACTTCCCTGGTGGCGCAGTGGTTAAGAATCCACCTGCCAATGCAGGGGACACAAGTTTGAGCCCTGCTCCGGGAAGATCCCACATGCCGCGGAGCAACTAAGCCCGTGCGCCACAACTACTGAGCCTGTGCTCTAGAGCCCGCAGCCACAACTACTGAACCCGCGTGCTTAGAGCCCGTGCTCGGCAACAAGAGAAGCCACTGCAATGAGAAGCCCGTGCACCGCAACGAAGAGTAGCCCCCGCTCACTGCAACGAGAGAAAAGCCCGCGCAGCAATGAAGACCCAACGCAGCCAAAAATAAATATAAAATAAATAAATAAAATTATTAAAAAAAAAACCAAGGGCCAAAGACCAGCATCATCAGCATTCCCTGAGAGCATGAATCGGAGTTCCAGACTGCATTTTAACAAGCTCCCCAGGTGACTGCACCCAAGGTTCCAGAAGTCCTGCTCTAAGCATCCTTCCTTATATAGAAACTCGAGGTACAGAGCTTTCCCGTTGCAACAGTACGAATCAGGAGCCCTAGCTCTTGCACAGTATTTGAAGACTTAGCTTAAATAACCTTTAGTTCATGTGAACTCTCCGGTGTGATATTATACACTTAAAAATGACCTCACTTTGGGTTGAATTTGAATTAGATTTTGTCAGGAAACTTGTCCATTAAAGGTGTGACTCCAGAGGATTTGCAGCACTAAGGGTGGAGCTCTGTTCCTCTGGGAGCTTTTCCTAGAGGAGCTTGTGTCTCAATTTGTAAAGAGAGCCAGTGGAGAAATTGGATTTGTTAGGAAGAAGTTTGGTCTGTGGACGACTTTTCAGGAATACGTTTGGTTCATAAAGGGAGGCAATGTCTCCACTGGGCTGCAACAGTTGTAGTTGTTAAAGTTCTGGAGGATTTCATATTTTGGAGTGGGGCGGGTTTGGGTGAGTTGTGTGTTTTTAAGCCAGTACAGCTTCTGTGAGACTCATCTGGGAGGGAGGGTGGCCAGTTCAGACTCTTAATATTTGAGCCAAGAGCAGTGTGGGACCAGGGATTCAGTCTTTGGTGTGTTCCTGATGGAGGAAAGGGTCATTAAACCCGGCTGGGTATCCTTGGCCTGCGTCCCTTAGCCTCCCTTGGCTCTCCCTAACCTCAGTACATGCCTCTCTGCTCTGTTGCCCGGCAGAGCCACGTGGTGGGACCACGGTTGCTGGCGCGGGCTCTGGGCTGCCAGCCTGCCTCTCTCCTCGAGTCCTGCGCTGCCCCCCACCCCCCAGCTGTCTGGTCCTTTGTCCCGAGGGTATGGGGGTCCTGCCGTGTGGCTGAGGTAGAGTCCCGCCTTGGGGTTCTCGGCGTTCACTGCTCAGTGCACGTTCAGCCCCGCCGAGCCCCCTGGCGCTTTGGTGGAGCTGGCGCAGGAGCTGCTACAGCTAATCAGTGGTTTGAGGAAGCCCTCTGTAGTCTGTCACTTTTTCCATCCTCTTTTCTTCTCTGAGTTCAGGCCACTTCCCTCCCAGTAATGCTACACAGCGGCAGTGGGGCAGGGAGGAAGCTGTGCTGGAAGGGCTGACCTATGCGGGCGCCTTCCCCCTCTCGCAGCTTGGTTTGGGGTCCCGGAGCTCTTGTGTCCCTGGGTGCATTAACTGAGTGAACGCACAGGTGAGTGGAATGCAATCTACCGGCTGTCCTGCAGATCCTACGTTCCCTGCCAGAAACTTAGACCCTGATGTGCAGGACATGAACTGGCTGGCTCTGGTGTGTATGTAACTTCTGATAACTGGGTCCTGAGTCTTTGGGGTAGGGTTTGTGAGTCGCACATTAAGAAGACGCGGGTTTGTGTTTCTCAGATACGTGGTCCAGAGACCATTGGGGAATATAGTGGGAGGGCAGGTAGCCAGAGGTACTGGTTAAAATTTGAGTCGCCTGAACCTTAACTGCAGGTCTGCCCATCAGTCGTTGGGGGAGGAGCCAGAACGTGTAGTTTATTTTCCCATTTGTTAGATTACATTGTATTGTTTGAATAGCCAGTCCTCTCACATAGTTCAAGTCTCAAAAGGAAACTGCATTTTAAAAGAGCTTCCCAGCAGATTCCTATCTACTCTCAAGTTTGAGAACCACTGTGTAGCCATAAGGAGAATTTGTCTAAAGTGGCGGTGTGGTGATGAGAAAGAGGTATTGATGCTGAGAGGGGTTGAGGATGGGCTCAGTTCAAAGCTTTTGGGTGAAGCTGTTTCAGGTGGCGCAGGAGGCAGGAAGGAGACAAGATGATGAGAATCAGATGAAATATAATGGGAGGCAACACTTGGTAAAGTGCTAAATAGATGGAATAAC